TTTAAGGAAATTTAAATTTAAGACTTTTTAATGCCAAGTGAAATCAAATTTAAGACCAATTTCACAATAAACACAAAGGACAAAAAAATAAAAAAATAAAAACTGGCAGAAACTCACGAATCAAATTATTTTTGGTTGAAGTATTGAAATATTCCTAATAAACCAATTGTTTTTAACCATATCAAACTGATTTTTTGTCAAATATAGCGGAAACCTTCTTAGCAGTCAGTTTTAAATTTAATTTAATTCCTGGAAATCCTCTAACGACCCAAAATGTGGAGTTTTAGGACCCACAGTGAGGTCTTAACCCCAATTTACTGTAGATGAAACCTTAAAGTGTCTGTGACATCAACTTTTTTGTAAAAATATGAATGCATTTTTGGAAAGACAACATTATTAACATATGAAAGAAATTTCACGTTGCTCAGATGGATGGTTGTTGAGATATTTGCATGTGAAATAACAGGAAGTGATGTCAAAAGGGAATGTTTAAATGTGAATATTTCAAAAATAAATAAATGTTACCAATTATTTTAATTTCTGATAAGAATTACAGTCATCCTACTTACAATGTGTTACATTTTTTAAACTTCTGAAGACTGATTTAAGACCTTTTAAGGCTAATAAAGGCCTTATTTTTGGATTGATGAATTCAAGGCCTTTTAAGACCTTTAGGATCCGCGGGAACCCTTATTTAGACCCCAACTGAAGGATTTAAATGTGAAAAAGGATTTTTTACATTAACAAAATATTTAAGCATCTCAATCTACTGTTCATCGGTACCTTTGACTCAACATCCTGAAACYGTGATTTAAATGGAACAGATGTGTCCAGTAATACTCCACTGGAAACCAATGTCTATGAAAGTGAAAAATGTTTAAGGGGGTGGGGGCTCGTACATTATGTGGCACGAATAGTCACAACAATAAAAGTTTCCAACCAGACGGTTTCAGTTGGTGTGACATGTCTTCCAGGTGGGGTGACCCTTCGCTTCCTGTTCCACTGCAGAAAAACACAGCTGACATGTGTAATTAGCAGCCACTGCCAGTAAATCATCTCCACTCCAGCAAACACGTGTCCCGTGTGTTAAATTTAGCACATCTACACAGGCTCATAGGCAGTCTGAAGTTTAACCTTTTATAGAGCCTCTGCCTGTGAGACCATCAGATTAATCTTTGGGAGCACTCTGAAGTCCTAACATTTTACCGACAACTAAAAAYAATAGTCTTTAAGTGAGAGTAATTGTCAAGGTTTGTGTAAACCACACTAGTTGGAAGGAAATGGTTGGTTTAAACTTTTATCAGRGATGGAAAACAGGAGGCCAGTGACTCATTGAGGGTGTTGGAATTATTTATTTGACTTGAAATGTCTGATTGCACATCTAAACCCAGTGACTAACTATCAACTTGGCCCTCAGCCCTCCCCACACAGCTCTGCTCCTGATTAGCTTCAACATCGCTGCATTTTGCTGATAAGTCGGAGGAAAGAAATCTTAAMAGCATCAAGTGTAAGAAAAGATTACGAATACAAGAACCAAAATTGTTGATTGTTTTCTTCCAAATACTCCTTTCAGTCCAAGAACCTCCACAAAARCTACTTTTTCTTTAACATCTTTGTCTTACCTAATTTGTTTATTTCACAAACACATTGATCAGAGAAGTTAAAAGCACATTAAATTGAAATATATAATCTCACTGTGTTCAATCAATCCATAACCCCTGAACAACCCGCAAAGCCCCGGGCTGACAACCAGTCTTTATTCTGTTCAAAATCAGACTTGTTTGAGAAAAAACACGAACAAGACTGCCCCCTGGTGGCTGAAAGAAAGACCAGTACATGCTGCTAGCCACAAACAATAAAACAGTAAGGCATTCATTTAAACATTACACACTTCATAATTATAGAAAGCACTTGACAGTTCACCACGAACAACTCGAGTGTTGCACAGACTTCTCAGCATTCACTGATTTTACACCAAAAGGGGGCAACAGACGTCTTATTGTCCGAACGTTGTGGCAACATGTGGGTAAAAATGTGATCTTTGATTTTCTTTTCTGATTAAAAATAATAATAATAATAACAGACACAGAAATAAACAAACAAAAAAGAAAATATCCCAGTGTTCTGTGAGCTTAGTAGATGAAGAGCACTCGGGTGCGGGGCAAAGTGGATAAGGTGTCGGCCATCTTCCGAATTCTGGCATAATTGACGAATCCTCGGACAAAGAGCAAAAAGCCTTAAAAAAAGAGAGAACGGGGTAACATGACATATATTTGAAGATAGTGGGGGGGAACATCCTAAACCTGAACTTTTTTTTACAATCCCATCTTCTACCTGCATTAAAAATTAAAAATGCCAGATTTTACTACAAAAATCTACTTTAAGGGCAGATTCGTATCAATAAAGTACATGAAAAATGCAAGTTTAAGTACGGTAGTTTTATACTGAGCAAAGAATTACCTGTGAAATATTAAAATATCAGCCTTGTGAATTTAACAAACACAAAGGCAACCTTTATGAAGGTTCTGTTTAAAGCGAACAATTCACTTTCTTGTAGATAAAAAAATACTTGAACATTAAAAACCACAGGACTGATAATAAAAAAATAAGCAAACAAAATCAACAGAATCTAAGTGAAAACTAGAATTTTGTGGAATTTTGACATCTCCACGTTTCACTGAAAGCTGAACTGCATCCCAATCGAGACAGAGCAAACAATTTAGACAAAAGTAAAGATTTGCTACTCACCCAACACCAGGAACACCCACCACAGCCAGTACTGTCCGTCAAAGTAACCCGGGAAATACGTGGAGAACTAAAAACCAAACACAGCACCAAAAATGACCGGTTAGAAACCACAAACGATTATTTCTATAATCAATTAATCACCGATTATTTTTTCGATTAGTCGACTAATCAGATCATACGTTAATTGAATATAAAACATAGAGTTTATCATGCCAGAATGCAGCTGCTATTATGTGACCATCTTTTAGCTATATGCTAACTAAAAATAACTGCTGTGGAAGGTAAGTTCTGCTCTGCAGATATTACACAGGTTTCTCT